TGATTTGCATATGTTGAACCAACCTTGCATCCCTGGGATGAATCCCACTTGGTCGTGGTGAGTAATTCTACGTATGTGTTGCTGTATTCTGTTTGCTAGTATTTTAGTGAGGATTTTTGCATCTGTATTCATCAAGGAAATCGGCCTGTAGTTTTCTTTTTTGGTTATGTCTTTACCTGGTTTTGGTATCAGGATGATGATTGCTTCATAGAATGAGTTTGGGAGATTTGCGTCTGTTTCAGTCTTTTGGAATCGTTTGTAAAGAATCAGTGTCAATTCCTCTTTGAATGATTGGTAAAATTCTGTGAATCCATCTGGTCCTGGGCTTTTCTTTGTTGGGAGCCTTCTGATAACAGCTTCAATCTACTTAATCGTTATTGGTCTGTTCCAATTTTCTACGTCTTCATGGTTCAGTTTTGGGAGCTTGTGTGTGTCCAGAAATTTATTCATTTCCTCCAGGTTTTCAAATTTGTTGGCATATAGTTGTTTATTGTAGTTTCGAATGATTCCTTGTATTTCAGATGAATCAGTTGTAATATCGCCTTTTTCATTTNTTTTAAGATTTTCTCTTTGTCTCTGAGTTTTGCCAATTTGACTATAACATGTCTTGGTGAATGCTTTTTTGGGTTGAATATGTTTGGAGATCATTGAGCTTCCTGGATCTGAAGATCTGTGACTTTTCCTATACTTGGGAAGTTTTCTGCCACTATTTTGTTGAATATGTTTTCAATGCAATCTCCATTTTCCTCCCCTTCTGGAATACCCATGCCTCGGATATTTGAGCGCTTAAGGTTGTCTGATATCTCTCTCAGATTTTCTTCAGTGTCTTTGATTCTTTTTTTTTGTCTGCTTGTTTTATTTCAAACAGCCCATCTTCAAGTTCAGAGGTTTTCTCTTCAACTTCGACAAGCCTGCTGGTTAAACTCTCCGTTGTGTTTTTTATTTCGCTGAATAACTTCTTCAGTTCAGCAAGTTCTGCTACATTTATTTTCAGGATGTTGATATCCTTGTACATTTCCTCTTTCAGGTCCTGTATACTTTTCCTCGTTTCATCATGTTGTTCAGGTGAGTTTTCTTGTATCTCATTCAGTTTCCTTAGAATTATCACTTGAAATTCCTTGTCAGTCATTTCAAGCGCTTCTTGTTCTATAGGATCTAGAGTTTGAGATTTATTAACTTTTGGTCGTGTACTTTCTTGATTTTTTGTATTTCTGGTATCTTTTTTTTTGATGTTTATTCATTGTGGCAGGGGGTTTCACAGTCCACCGGTTTAAGAGTATTGACTAACTAAGGTGTTGCTGTGGTTGCCAATTTGGTATGGCTACCTCCGTGACTGCTCAGTTGGCGTCTAGTGCCTTGTGTGTGTGGTTGCCTCAGGTCTTGGGCCTCTCTGGGGAGCCACCTCTCTGGTCAGCTTGGACTCTGTTGGTCTGCTGGATCACAGGGTGGGACCACAGGGTGTGTGGTCTCTGCTGAGCTTCCACTTCCCATGCAGGACTTCTCCCTGTTCCGAGCGCTCTGGCCCAGGCTGCTGGATCACGCAGTGGCGGCCCTACAGGGTGTGTGGTTTCTGTCGAGTTTCCGCCTCCCTAGCCTGATGTCTCCCTGCTCTGTGCACACTGGGCTGGGCTGGGATGTGTCTTCTGCAACCCTCGTCTCTCGGCTGGGCCTTCAAGACCCTGCTCATCACCACCTTGCCCAGGAAGTCTACCAGGTTTCTGCTAGGCGCAGACGACCGGTTCCTCTGGGTGCCTTTGTAGCACTGTGTAGATCTTTCTCGGGACTTATCACCTTCCTCCTGGTATCGCGGTTATTTGTCTAATTGTCTTATCTCCCACACCAGAGCGTGAGCTCCTCAGGGGAGGAGCCCTCAGCACACGGTTCACCTTTGAATCCCCCCAGCACAGACCGACTCCAGTGCCCGCCCGCAGTCAGCTCTCCGGCAGGTTCAAGAGAACTCGGGAACTCTCTGACCACACTATTCCTAACCAGATATCAGTTAGGCGTTTTTCTGAACTGGTGGCCGCAGACATGGTATCTGCCTTCTGGTAACAGGAAGTTTACCGGGGGCCGGAGCCCAGGGTGCGGTGGAGTGACAGTCGGCCCAGCCCATACTTACTTGCCTTCCCGACGCTGGCCGGGACACCCCCCGCCACCAGCCCCGCCAGAGAACCACGGAGGGAGTGGGAAGGGAGGCCGGCCCGCAGGCCCCGGGAAGCCCCGTGCTGGGGCAAGCAAGTGGGAAGGCTCAGTGAGGAGCCATGCAGGGCGAGGAGGACCGGTCTGGCCAAACCAGGCCGGAGCCGCCACCACCTGTGAAAATGGAGGCAGCCCCGGGGCCAGGCAGGCGGAAGTTGGGCAGGCGTCCGCCCCCCCGAGCACGGCCGTGCCAGGGGTCACTCACAAGGTTGTGCCAGGCTGGGCGGCTTCCTCTCTGCCTCTACGTCATCCCCAACCTCGGCCGCCGCCGCCTCGGGCTGCTCACTC